GGAAAGTATTGCAATTGACTGTTGAGAATCCTTTTTAGAACGGAACTTTATCTTGAATTTTTTACGATTTGCAGCAAAGTTGGAAGAATATGCTTTAAGCAAATCATTCATAGCTTCATCTCGTATATCATAGGGAGCCTCAAGGACCTATTTAAGTTCAGTATTATTGAAGTTTATGGCATTGAGACATCGTGCCCTTAAATCCTTTTTTTTTTTTTTTGATTGACACCTTCTTTTTTGATCGCGATAAGACATCGATTGTATGTCCATCGTGCTGTTCCTATCCATTGCCTGAGTTTCATTCGCTCCTCCTGAGTGGGAAAAAGGCGGATGCGTTGTACTTTGCCTACTGGAAGTTTCTTCATTTCTTTCTTCTTGGGTGGCATCTTTTCTTTTTCTACGATTTGCGGCAGAACGTAGTCCATTATGTCACGCCACAAACACTATGACGATTGCAAGTTCTCCGGCTTCACTACTTTCAGCACTGATATCCGTACTGAGTACCATGAGCCGAGTTCCATACTTTTCAAAAGATTCATTCCACAAGTTCGAATCCGAAACGGCACAATCGGTCCTAATAAAAAAGTTAGTAAAATAAAAAATCAATAAATCAAAGCAAATAAATAATTAAGCTCATACCTTTCGGGTAATCACCACTTCTTCGATTCCTCCTGTGTGTATTCGTTCCAGAAGGGCAACAAACCCCCTTCGTTTCCAGTTGAGCCTGGCGTAGCAGATCTTGGCCTTTTGCGCAGGTTGTGTCTGGTTGTTTCTGAAGATTCCTTGTATGTCAGTTGAGACGTCATACGTCTCCTTGATTTTTATTTGCACTTTGAAGGTCGTTAAAAATGTGGTCTTTATTCCACCTGTTCCGGTTTTTCTTTGTCTGTCAATTGTCGTATCCGATACCGGGTATTATATCTTTATATACCACAAACTGAGATAATATTGCCAACTTTTTTACAGTTAAATTCTTATCAGTAACAATTTCACGTAAGTCTTTTAGTTGTCCTATCTAGGAAATTTGACATCCATTTTAGTTTACAACTTCAAATCCGAAAAAAAAAAGAATTAACAAGCGCACTACATTATTCTCCGGATCTTCGACTATACGTTGAGATATTTCCGCCAATTGTTCCTTCTTTTGATTAATATATTCTTTAAGTGGAATATTTATGCTTAATTTAGGTTCTGAGATATGTGACTTTTTATCATTAGTATCAAGGTCGTTCGGTTCGTCAATGTCGTTAGGGAATGAGAGGTTGACAGTAGAACTGTGTTGCTTAAAACTATATTTGATTTTAAACTTTAAACTTTACATAACCGTATTAATAATTAGTAAGCTCAAGTAATACGAAAAATGTGGTTTATTCCAGAATGTTCGAAATCACGGCAACGGTCCGAAATTACTCGAAATACTCTAAAAAGATTTTGGGATCTTGATCCTAAAAAACCTTTAATAAGTAATATACCAGTTACATTTATTGTACAAAACCGATCTGAAATAAACAAGATTGGAATTGACGATACTTGTCGAGAATTTAGTAAAATACTGTAATTGTAAGCATAACTTTTGCTGATTTATTTCTCTAAATCTAAACTAACCAATTGAAAGGCATATTAATAATTTGGATGATACTCAAAAGGTTATAATAACACTATAACTTTACTGATACTCAACATTCAAGAATTTAAACTTTTCTTGAAATTGTTATAATAAATACTTATAAGCTTTATCAGATTAGGAGGAATTATAATAATCTTATAATACTTGATATCAATCAGTTTACGTGCTGATAAGTCAAAAGATAATTATTAACTAAAAAAAAATACATTTATCTTTTTTTTTTTAAAAAAAAAAAGATCTTCTCCTTTATCAAGAAAGTATATAATTCGTTATAAGGCAACCAACTCAAAGTATTAGGTTTTGTTATTTTAACCATATATATCTTAAAAATATGTTTACGTGTTATTAACGATATAAAAAATCGTTTCAAAAAACACTAATATATATACAAAAAGCTCGACATAAACGCTAGTTAATATAAACTTTTCAATGAAATTAATTTTTCTCTTTAAAGAAATTAAACTTGTAAAAGTGTTTATTAAGATTTTTGCTAATTATTATAATAAACTTACAATTTGGTTTAATAAAGAACCTAACCTAAAAAATCAGAAAACAACGATATTTTTTTTTTAAAACGCTAAATTACTTTTTGTTTTTATTTTGCTACTTTTTTGGGTTCGACCGATAATCATTGCTTTAATTTTAATGAATAAATCTAAAAAAAAAAGTGTAATGTCTTTATACAAACATAGTCCACTATTTTTTAATATTTCTAATAAGTGAAAATTGCGATACGAATTTGTGAAGTTGCAAATAAACCAAAATGTTTAATTTTCACATTATACTTTTATAGCCAAGTTGCATATCCGGTTTGAGTTCTTCTACCAATTTATTGCATTACAATCAGGACATTCAATTTGCATCTTTCCATCACATTCCTCGATCGTATACTGAAATTATAAAAAAAATTAATTTACCAAACATAAATAATTAAAAATAATAAACAAATGAAATTACCGGATGGCCATTAGGACATTCATTCCAAGCTGAAAAGCGATAAAATAAAGAATTTATTAAATAAATCATTCTCAAGAAAAAAACAAAAAAAAAATCATATCCATTTTGACATACCTGAATTTTTAAATTCAGTTTTTATCACACGATGAATTTCTAATTTTCCTTCAATATTCGTCTCTTGTATAGTGTCCGATTTATTGGGTTTGAGATCATAGCATTCATCACGAATTGATACCGATTCTTGCAAAGTAAGTGTAGTTTCGTTCAGATCATTATCATAAGATTCAACTTCTTTAATTAAGTCTCTTAATCTATTATCAAGATGGCTTTCAAGTTTTCCATTTGCAATGATATTATAAGTAGAAAAATTAGGAAAAATATTATGAATACGACCTGTCATAATTCTCGTCTGAGGTATATTATCAAAAGCAAATCTATTTGGCGAATATTTTGATTGATACATATGCTTATAATGACCTAATTCTAATATTTCTACATTAACCAAAAGAAGGTGTCTACCATAACGAGTAGATTTTGCCACTACCTGAATCGTATTTAGGTGTTTTTCAATAGTAAGTAGTAATCTTTCACCAAATTTTTTCCAAACTTCTTCAACTCTTGTAGCTATTGGTCTTTCAGCTTTCATAATTTTTTGAATTATAAATAAAATTTCATTGAAAAGAACTTTTTGTAAGTTGACCATTTCAAAAAGTGTGTCTAAATAAATTCGACGATCTACTTTCGATATCGAAATTCCTTTCTGAGAGAGTAAATTTTTAGAGGAATCATCGTCATCATCTGATATTTTAAGATTTGATAATCTAACGTTTAAATCACTTTCAGGATCCACCATTGAAAATTTAGCTTGATATCTATGAAAGAAGAAATAAAAGTTTAATTAAAATAAACCCCACACATTAATTCTTATTAAATTAGACTAATAACTTATTTTTACTTACAAAGTTGAGGTGGAGGCATCAAAAGCTTTCTTATGGGGTGGTGATTTTGTGGCACGAACAATGGAAATTAATTCTTGATAATACTTTAATAATTCTCCGACACGATCCATCCAAATTTTTTTACTAATTCTGTCAAATCCATGAAATTTGTCAACAAATTTAAAATATTTACAAGGGATAACGTCAGGTAATTGATGCTCTCCAAATACATTTTCTTTTACTCTTGAATTATCAGCGGGCAAATAACCTAGACCTTGTAACAATCTCTGATTATCTTTCATATTATCTTCGAAAAAAATTATTCGCTTTGTAACATTATTCAATTGATTAACATATTTTGTTAGGAATTTTTTGTTTTGTGCGTCCAAGATACATTTGTTAACTATTCTTCCATATCTCCTAATATTTTTAATTGGCGTTCGACATTCTGGACATGTTTTTACATTTGATAATGATGCTGGAAGGATTTTAACTGATGTCCATCCACTTTTGATCGAACCTTCATAATAATCTTCCATTCCCATATGCATATCCATAGTTTCCATGGTATATGCATGTCCACAAGAAAGAACAATCATCCTTTTCCCGTCCCAATCCACATCACAAAACAAAGTTTTTACAATTGCATCTGGTACTGTTTCAAAAAGATGAAAAAATCAAAAAAAAAATGTAATAACGACGATAATAATAAAAAAAATAAACCCGCAAAATTTTAATATACCTTGACTTTTAACAGATTCAGGTGCGCAAGTAATACAAAAATCTTTTGAAGGACAAACTTCTCCACAAACTCCAGCACACATATGACCACATTCCAACCTCTTGTTGCATTTTTTATTACAAGGCAATCTAAAACAAGGAACTCCACAATTTAATCTACATCTTCCTTGATGCTCGCATTCCCATGGACATGTTTCTGCACATACGGAACAAGGTTCTATACACCGTTTATCACACGATAAATGATCACATGATATTGTACATTTAGCACCACATGGTGAGCATGCGCTCCCTTCATGACACTGCTTTACACACTTATGTCCACAAAATAATGATTTATTACATAAATTTTTACATTCTGCATGCTTAGTTCGTTCAATAGGGACGATTCCGCAATTCATTACGTCTTTGATTTTACGTATGTCTCGTGGTTTCGAAAGGTCTTGACATACATGACATCGATTTGAACATTCATGATTACAATTTAACATTTTCCCGCATATATCATTGCACTTAACGGTATCAACAGATTCATGACACTAAAAAAAAAATATTATTAGAAAAGAAAGAAAAGGTAAGCAATCAAGCAAAAAAAATAAATGACTTACGAAAATGGTTTTAGAGTGTTCGCAACTTGGTAATTGTTTTTCAACTCGAATAAAACATTTGACATCGTCAACGGATTCATGACACTAAGGGTGCGAATAAAATTATTACTGATGTAATAAATAATTAAATAAACAAAAAATTTACTTACGCAAATGGTTTTTGAGTGTCCACAACTAGGTAATTGTATTTGGACTGGAGTCAAACACTTGATTTCATCCTTCTTTTGATTTTCCCAACACTTGGCATTTTTCCAAGTATGTCCGCAACCAGGTAATATTATATCACCCATAGGAAAATTACATATTCCGCAATCATCAAAACAATACTTTGGACATGGATGATTACATACTGAATGTAATTTCGGACATGGTTCTTTACATTTAGTTTTAAGATGATAGGGATCATCCGAATGGCACAGAGAAATACACACGTGTCCACAAGGAAGTTTTGCACGACATGGCTAAAAATGAAGTTTAGTGTAAAAAGAATATATTATATATATAACGATTGAACATTCAACTAATTTGGTTTTACCTGATTACATCCACCATCAGGACTAATTCGATCAAAATCTTCAGGGTTTTCAATAACATGCTTATATTCGGGATGCTTATGACATGCAATTGGCATGCCATAACCAACTTGCGGAGGATTTCGTGCTTGTAACATATCAATTACAGGAGTCCACATCTTTTCAGATCTTGTAGCCATCAATTTAGAATTACCAATAAGATACATTCCTTCTCTAGCACGTGATAATAATACATTACTTCGATTTGTGCTCTTTAAGAATCCAATAGTGTCATACCTATCAGAATTGGAGAAATTACGAACTAAAGAAACGATGACTATGGTCGCTTCTTCACCCTGGAAATTATCTACAGTTCTTAAAGTGACTTGTTGATATAATGATTTTTCTGAGATAGAAACACTTGTATCTTCATTGGAATTATTAACAACTTCTTGCTCTTCCTCCATTTCAGCAAGATCTTGTGAATCTCTTTCGTCCAAGACTACAACAAATAACCTAGATAAGGCATCCTTGATTCTCATCATTTGTCCCAAATAAGGAGTAAGTACAGCTATATCATCAGATTTAGTATATCCATTCTTAATGAAATATTTTACCATCTCCACTACCATTCTGACTTCATAATTATTCACATGAGATAGCGTTGCAAATTCTCCATCAGAATTGTCTTCAGGATGATCATGATTAATAAAATAAACATTATGTTGAGCACCACGTACTTTTTCATATTTAGAAGTATTTTCACCATCCTTTAATCCTTCATATAGTGTATTTCTAATTAAATCAGAAATTTCAATTTCTCTCATTCGTCTCTGAGTTAAAAGTTGAACTTTATCAATTTTAGATGAATTATCACCGTTAACTAATCTTTCAAATAATGATTTATCTAATTGATAATTTTTTCCTTGATTAGAATCCATACTAAGGGAATAGGTAGCGACATGTGGTCGAAGTTGATTTGGATCACCGATCAATATTAAATGTTGAGTTAAGGGAGTTAATGCACTAAGGATATGAGCCTCAAGCACTTCCCCAGCTTCTTCACAAATAATAATCTTTGGTTTGATAGATTGAATTAAATTTTGAAATTTAGCTGCTCCATTTGTGGTCATACCAATAACATCACAAGACGATAACGTTTGACGACGTCCTTCGTCATATATTTCACTCCATTCATTACGTATTCTATCATACATTGTTTGTAACCTTGATAAAATTTCTTTAGATTCCTGATTAACTTTTATACGCCAATAATCATGAAGAGTTATTCGTTCCATCCTCGACATTTTCCAAATTGAATTTATATTTAGTAATAATTCCAAAGGGCGATCTGTTTCAGGTTCTTCGTAATCCAATATCCATTGTATCATTTCATGGTCGGTTTGTGATTCATCATCACTTGAGTCCGTTTCACTATCATCATCCTCCAAAAATACGTACTTATTATTTGTTGGCCTTTTCTTTTTTTTCCCATTCATCTGCTTTGGATTTAACAAAATATTCTTTCTAGCATAAATCATATCGATATCTATCCCTTTTAACCATTTCTCAAATATGGGTAAATTCGCTGATCTATTATTATGGACAACCTTATATTCATTCAAAAATTCTTCTTCGTCACTATAAGTTCCTAAAACCCAACTTGGTAACTCATAATTATTCACGCGATCAAATTTAACATAAAACTTTTTCTCATTACTTTTCAGATAACCGGATACATCCTTCCATTTCAACCTGTTATTGGACAAAGTGTTGTTAAGTTCATTAACGCGTTTTTCGATTTCTTTTAACGAATTACGTAATTCATATCCATCTTTGCCATAAGAATTGGGTTGCCACATCATTTCTATACTTAATTCTTTAATCCTTTCAGATTTCGTCCGAGAGCCCAATCTAACTATATTTTTTATGTTTATGTCAAGCAAATGCTGTGAATAGGAGTGTGAATGATATGCATTAATACTTTAAGAAACAATTCAGCAAGTTCACAGAATTAAAAAAAGAATTGAGGTCTTATATTACAGTACCTCCAAGAATTGATCAAGGGCGTGATTCGTAAAACAAATGGTGAGAATGGGACCAATATTAGTTTTTCGATTTTGTTCTGCCAATAAAACCTTCATGATCTCAACACCGACTACAGTTTTTCCTGTACCGGGTGGACCTTCGATCAATGCAATCTCGCGTGTTAAAGCAGAGATTAATGCTTTCGCTAAAAGAATAAAATTTAAGAAAAAAAAGTAAAGCGATAAGAGCGATAAGATAAATTTTCTGCAATAAAACTTGAACATACTACATTTAGGTAATTACCTTGAGTTTCATCCAATTTACTATATTCATTAACCTTCTTTGCTACTTCATCGTAACTGCCTGTATCGCCAACATTTAATTTTAAAGTTTGCTGTTTATCACATAAAATCGATAAGTCAAATTCAAAACCCGGTGCTCTAGTGTACATAGGTGGTTCAACTTCGAAATTTATTGATTCATGCAGGTCATCAATATTCGGAGCAAAATATTTTTCAAATGGGAGAGAAGAAGGATTTGTAGATTGAAGAGTTTTAAGAATATGATAATAAGCTTCGAAATAAACTCCTGTTGATTCAACCATAAATCTTTGTTCTAAGGTTCTATCGGTTACCGTTTGAGGATTTGAAATCTCACTTAACGCAATAGGATAAATTAATAAATCAGTAAAATTAATACAGATATCAGCATAATCGGCATGCTTAGCCAAATTTCTTTCATTCCTTGATGCTACCACTCCAAAGAAAACCAGGTACTTGTCAGAATTTCTTTTAGATGTTTCGTCATTATCAAATTCATCATGATTACGTCCGGCATCTGGATTCGGTAATAATAAAGTAATCAAACTGCCATTCAATAACCTTTTGCTTTTCTCCCAATATGCTATTCTATCCCGTTCAGAATTTGTATAGCGATTTTTTGGGGGAGTAAATCTTAAAGTATAAGCAAAGCCTTTCTTCCTATCACAGGTAACACCGACGAATTGTATATTGGTATATACGTGTAAACCACCATATTCCTTTTGAATCCTCCTTATTTCCTTTGAAAATTCATTATTATTAAGTGAAGGTCTCAAGTCTTGTGATAAGACATTTATTAAATTTGATATACTTCCTCGAATGGGATTCAACAAGTCTTCCCTTAATAAACGAAAATGTGTATCAAGCAACTTGGCGGCCCCATTTGGCAGAAAATGCGGTGCATCAGGATGAGAAAATGGTAAGAAAGGACGGCGATCACATAGAATTTCTTCTATCGTAGGAATGATTGATATTTCCGAAATTTCTTCAAAATCATTATCATGTCTCTTGCCATTTTTAGACAATTCTCCAGGAGGATCATAAGATCTTTCAAGATCAGCTCTTCTGGCAATCGACTTATATCGCAACGAAGTTAATTTGGAAATTAATTCTTTTTTATTTGGATTCTGTTCATCAATTAAACTAACACGTCCATTATTTAACAATCTAATCATGGTATTCATTTCGTTTTCTAATACCATGAAAAAATATTTTCTTGATTCCAAATTATTCATTAACGGGTCGGTTGAAATGGTCAACGGTTGTTGAAGTTGAAAATTTTGTTGATACAAGGTCTTAAGATTTTGCAAATCGCGAGCAATTTTATGCATGGTCACATTGATAGAAGCTTCTTTGATCCGACGTAATAATACGGTGAGAAGCCGTACGATTATCAAGAAAAAGATTCCGATGCTAGAAATATAAAAGAATATTAGTTGAATGTGATGCGCCAAAGCAAAATCCAAGCGCTGTACTCACGAGGATGGAATAAATGCATATCGATCGCGTCTCAATAAATCTTCCACGCTAATTTGATTGTCAGCAACAGAATTACGTTGCACTAAAGTCTCCAACATTTTTATTACATTATTATAAAGAAAAGAGTCCTATAAAATAAGAAAAAGAACATATTAATCACGAGGGAAAGAAGAATAACTATGATCAGCCGATTCTGTTAAGAAGACTTACAAGATTGATGTAAACAACCATAAAGATGGCATGAATATACGTTTCCAAAAAACATTCAGTAATAGAAGTTCTAGTCAATAAACCCAATAAAGGTAATATAACATGTTGAAAGGATAATACATCGTCCCTGAGTCCCGCATCGCACGACATTGAAGGAATGGTTATGATTTCCCTTAACTTTTTAACGCCACCATCAGGATTACCGAATGTTTTTATAAAATCTTCTATCTCATGACTATGACGATAATTCGTTACAACCAACGCTGAACTGATGAAGATTCTAATATCACCCTGATTCAAAGTTCTAAATTCTTTTCTTATAATTTTTTTCCATATGGTTTTAATCGGATCTCCATTGGTAATAACAATTAATCGGTCACTACCATGACATGTTAATTCGGAAGATCGGAAATTTTCTATTGTCGCTTCTTGTTGTGCTACCTGTATTGCTGGAATACTAAGTAATGGAGCTGGTGGAGCCCTACGGCCAGCATTTCGACGATCATTATTACTTCTACCACGACCTCTATTACCACGTCTAAAATCAGGGTTTTGTCTACTCATAATGATGAACTGTGTTTAAAACAAACGTTAAATTTTTTTTTTTTTTTTTTTTTCTTCAAAAAGAAAAAAAAAAAAAGAAGAGATGATTTTCTATAATTATGAGTTAGTATATAAAGGAAAAAAAATTAATATTTATTTATTTATTTCCAATTTCGGCAACAATAACATATATGGCATGTGAATTACCAGACTATGCAATAATAAGTTAAACCCGTTCCCATTATAGTTTAGGTTTGATGCAAGAACTTTTCTGTTAATTACGGACCGTTTCGATATCGGAAAATCCGTCAAAAATCTAATAGTTCATCATGATCGGGATTTATTTTGTTTTATCAAACATCTACTTTTATGTTAAGAGTGCATATTTTCAACAATTTTAACGATTTGGCGCTTTCGAAGGGAAAAATTTATTGGTATCTGACAAAAAGTTTTTTGTGTTGCATAATTTTTTTCAAAGATAATTGTTACACAAATTCGGCTCATTACTTTTTTTTTGAACCTATAGTATATCTGCATATTCCATTGTTCATATATTACACAGTTATTTTTTTCTAAGGATAATTATTAAATGAATTTTAAGTTTACCAATTAATGTGCGATATTTTATTTGTGTAAGTTGCACCTTACAAAATTTAAATTTTTTTAAAAAAAAAGTAAAAAAAAAAATGTTTTAAAAAAATTTTAAATCTATCTACTTTTACTCCATTAGTAAGTTTAAACATTTAGTCATGCAATATCAGCATCAAAAATGTACAGATTCTTTTAATAACGTAGGTGATTGCTATTTCTGTTCCATTAATACAGATGGTACATTAAAGCAACATTAATCAACTTTTGTTGTTGATATTAAATAAATTTAAAATTATGACCATCTTTTTTAAAAAAGAAAAAAAAATCTTATTTATCTTGCCAAAGTAAATACATTCTTTTGGATATAAATAACATAGTCCGGATTTAACAACAACTGCCTTTACAGGAAATAAAAGAAATATAATAAATTGAAATAAATCCATAACATATGCATAGCAAATCATTGATATAGCGTCGTCTTTACTGCACCACGGAATATTTTCAGATTTATACATTATTTTCATTATTCACAATTTATATATTTACAAAACCATTTTACCTTTTATTCACGACATGTCAAAGATTAGATTAGAAATTCATTATATAAATATCTGGAGTATTAACGATGTAAAAATCCAATCAATTACATATTTCAGGGGGGTGAGCTGTCAATTAATTGAACCAAAACTATGTATAGTCCTATAACAAAAATTAATATTGAAGATATTTATATTAAGCTATTTTATAGTATAATTTAAATTATTTTATAATAAATTTACTATTAACGAAGCTACATTTTCTTTTTCTGGATCCTTCTTATCTATTTCATTTCAGATTTTTCGAAAATACTCCAAATATCTGTCTCTTTCACAAAATAGATCGCTTATTTTAAAAAAAATTCATTAATACTCCGAAATTAATAAATTAAGCCTTCTAAATAGGTAAAATAATTTTTTTTTTTAACGTGAGTTTTGAAAAAAAACGAGGTATTTTATGTTTCTTAAAATTATCATGTACCCATTCTACTTTACTGCGTTACTTAAATGTTAATAGAGTACAAGTTATTAAATTTTAGAATTTATTAGAAAAATGGCTCGCTATCGTCAAAATATCTCTAATAATAAGTTTTACTATAGGACTATATATAGTTTGTTAAATTATGTTGACAGCGCACCCCAATATTTCATGTACGCAATATGGAATTTAGTGAATAGCTAGATTATCTCCTCGTTCTTGGGAGACTTATTGTTGGTTTTGTTAGCTGGATTAAGATAATGTACTTACAATCCATGCATTTCTAATTACTTAAAATTCTATAAACATAAGTAGGAAAAAATTTATCAATTAAATAACTTTTAAATAATCAATGAACAAACTTTATGATGTTCATATGAATGAAATGTAATAACTTATTGAGAAGATATGTGTATATTTATTTGAATTATTACAAGTCTCTGTATATTTTTGAAATGCAGTGGTTGGCGCTCCTTTTTTTTCGCTCGATCTCATTATGATTTTTATGTGACTTTTTAATCTATCATTAAATTCTGATTCATCATTAATTTATTAATAATATTTTTCGACGATGTGCTTCTGACATTTTTGTCCTATCTATTTATTGATCGATTGAATAAATTATTTATTTATACACTTTTTTTTAGTTTTTGAAAGCTCGATCGATCTTTATTATAATTATTAAAATTAGTAAATTTTTTTTAATGTTTTGCAAGATTAAAGTAGAATAATTATTAAATTGAAGATTCCTAACAATGATTTATTTTTCAATAAACAATTTAATAAATGTTTCTAATAGAATAAAAAAATTTTATGGAAGTTCTTCCAATTTATAAAACTTAAGATAAAATACAAGATATTAAATTCTAAAGTTAAAAGATATTTGATATTTAATTTTTTTTATATATATTTTAATTCTAATAAACTGTAAATTAACAAATATATTTTGAATTTATTAGCAATTACTAAGATATTTTACCTTACAAGTTGCAAGCTTATAGGAAATGGTAACTTAAATAAATGTTCATCTAGTTAAATTAATTAAATTATTGACATTTATATATATTTTGTAGTTATAATGATCTAAGTTTCTTTGGTCTGAAGATTCGACTATATATTAAAAAGATAGATATACCAAGAATATATACAGTATAATATATTATAGATCTTGTTTCCACTTTTTTAAAAATGTCTTCTACATCAGAAGGGTATCATAAAGGACGGATATCAAAAAAAAAAAAAAAACTTAAATTATTTATGAAATAGCTAAATTGATCGTAAAAATAATAATCATTTGTGACGAAAACTCTCGTTCAAAATTTAAAAGATTTAAACTTTCTAATACTGAATGGATAGCAAGTTCAAGACGCAAGTCTGAACAAAGTTTGGCAAGATATCAACCGGAAACTGAAATCCAATATAGTATGAAACTTTGCTCAAACATTTGGATTAAAATAGATAAACATTAGCATAGTCTGGTAATTTACATGTTAGCATTATTAAATTTGATTTTTTAAAAAAAAAATAGAAAAAATCATTAACAATTAGTCTATTTCGACAACCAATTCTGTTATTAATTCCATAATTATTTTTTAACAATACTAGTAATTAACAAATGTATAAAAATAATTATTTTTTTATTTACTATAGCTTATTAAGATCGTCTACATCAGGTGAGCACGTTAATCATTTTTTATTTTTCCAAATGAATTTTATTTTAGGATTTCATGTGAAACCATCGTGGTGCTTATAAATTTGATTAAACGTTACATGATTTACCACGTACATTTATTTTCTTTCTTTTCTCCAACAATTCGAATGAGTGGGTCAATTGGGTTGAAGAATATATCTCAAGTAAAAATATCAAGTACTACGAATACAAACATATTAGCAATTTTCAAAAAATTGGTGCTGGCAGCTTTGGAAAAGTTTATCGTGTAAATTGGAAAAGTCCAAAGCAATATATGGCGTTAAAATCGTTTAAAAGCTTCAACAATGTCTCTGTTGAAAAATTGTTCATGAGTAATTACAAAATAATATTGTCATTCGATCTATTTATTATAAAATCCTTTATATATCAAGCTAAAATTTATATTCTAATAATTTTAGCTTGAACTTCAACGGGAAGTTGATTTTCATAGCAATATCATTCGCTTTTTGGGAATCACATCATCAAACCAAGGTATAAAATCTTAAATATATTGACTTTGCATTTATTTTTATTAATTCATTTAATTCATTTATAAATATATATATATGTTTTTTCAAAAAAAAAAAAAATGTAGAAAATCAAAATAATCAATTGGAAAATTATTGGTTAGCAATGGAATATGCTGACGGTGGTGCTCTTAGAAACTATTTGAAGGGTAACTTTGATAAGCTTTCTTGGGAAGATAAATACAACTTGGCATTCCAGTTGGCTAGTGCTGTATTGTGTTTACATAACGAAGGAATTGTGCATCGTGATTTGGTAATCTTATATAACATATACTTTCTTATAATAATGATGTTTAAATAGTAATTTTTTTTTATATGCATAGGCAATGTATTAATTCATCAAGGTGTCATTAAACTAGCCGACTTTGGATTATCGAAAAAGAATTGAAACAGAAACTAGTCATTCAAAGGCTTTTGGAGTGATTCCTTATGTTGACCCAAAAATTTTCAACAGATGAAGAAATGATAACACATCACCACAATTTAAACTTAATGAAAAGAGCGACGTTTACAGTGTTGGCGTACTTTTATGGAAGATCTCAAGCGGTCATCCTCCTTTTTATGTTAAGAATGAAGGATACGAGATTAGTTTAGCTATCGACATTTTAGGAGGACTTAGAGAAAAGATTGTTCCAGACACACTTGACGATTATGTAAATATTTATACCGGTAAATATATATTATCATAAATTTAATTAATTTTATAACATATATATTTTTTCTAAGTAATTTTTTTTGACCATAAACTTTTATTTATCTTAGAATGCTGTGATAATGAGCCAGATAAACGTCCATTTATGTATCAAGTAGTTGATAACTTACATATAATTATTTCAAAAGCAAATATGCAAGAAAATGATCAAATTAATAACTGTGAATTAAATATTCACCATCAGAATTACAACTTTATTCTCCAAATATTAATAATTCATCACATGGAGAATTATCTCGAATTATGCAAAATTTTGATCAGATAAATGATCAAATGAATAGTTATGTATCATCATTATCGGAAACATCTCAAAATTATTTAAATGATGATGATTCTTGCAATAATAACATAACATTACATCAAGAATTATCACAAAACTTTAATCAGATCAATGCAGAAGAATTAGAATCAAATATTGAAGTATCAAAATTTAATTATGTCGAATGTTTAACGTTATTTAATAACGATGACATAGCGTTATTACAAAGATATCGAAATTTAACGAAACTTATTCTGAAATAACTATCCTACTAACTTTACCTCAATCCTTATCGAAACTTGATTGCTCTCGTACTCAAATAACTATCCTACCAACTTTACCCAACTCCTTAATGGAACTTGATTGCTTATCTACTGAAATAACTATCCTACCAACTTTACCAAATACCTTAACAGAACTTAATTGTTCTTATACTCAAATAACTATCCTACCAACTTTACCCCAATCCTTATCGAAACTTAAATGCTCTTGGACTAATATAGCCATCCTACCAACTTTACCCAACTCTTTAACGGGACTTGAATGCTAGTTTACTAGAATAAATAGCTTACCAAATTTACCCGATTCCTTAAATATATCAAACCTGAATCTTTAACAAGCTCAATTTCGAATAATTCCTGTGCTTTAACTTAACCTAAGTCTTTCACTTTCTACATAACCTTTCTTTTTAAACGTTCAAGTTTCTTTTGAGGAGTAAATATAAATATATGATTTAAACTATGATTTAAAAATAAAGGATTTCTTTACTATTAAAGGAAATGATTATTGTTAATAATGAAAATTATATAAAAATATAAAGCATGAAAATATTATAGGTTTTTATTAAACTTTTCTATTTTTGTCTTTAAATTAGTCTTTCGGCAACATTTCATTAAACACCCAATGATTTCTTTACACGCTATTTTTATCAAAATCTAGTGTAATATTTAATGTCATTTCAAATACGAAATTGCAAATGAAATTAATATTAAGTAATAAATAATATGTACTGTAAATAATTAATAATATATTTAAATACCACTCATTTACTTTTATATAAATTTATTAAAAAGTTAAAGATTATCAACAATAATTCTGTCCTGACCCGAAAAAAAAACCGAGATGACAATATAACAAATTGTTGTAAATTTTAAATAAACAAACAAAACCTCGATATTAACCCTAATTTAATTTTATATGATCTTAAATTATTTGGTTCTGAATTATGTGTTGTGTTGTGACCATCAATGGGACTATTGTTGTAGTTAATTGGATTAGTGGGAAAGTAATAATTTATTCAAAATACATGAAGTATATATACCTATAATGCAAAAATAGAACTCGATTAAAAGTTGGATGATTTGTTAAATGCTGCAACATTTATCAACAATTAAAATATAATAAATAGTAAGATATTTTAATTAATGATTTGCACAAAAACCTTATGTAAAATATTGCAATATTTGTACGCTCACTATTTTAAATAGTTTCACTTTTGGTGTGATTTTTGGATTCTTCAAGGATGAGATTGTAATTCTTTTTTGAAAAATAATATTTGCGTGATATTTTGAAACCAGAGCTCCTTCGGATAAATACATCAATCATATACCAGGTATAATTGAGGATAAAAAATTTTCTTATATATTATCCGAATCTCAAAGTCCAATCTTGTTAGTTAAATTGAAATTGTGGTTCACAAATTGTCAAATTGTCGAAACAAATGAAAACCTACTGTCAACTTGTCAAAATTATTTTCGAAAAGTTTAGAACTTTGGTTTAGGTTTTGCCCGCAACCTTATATTTGATATAATATGTTCACATAATTGGAGATTATCGCCCAACAACAATGCGTGAAAAATAACTAGTCATTTAAATCTAATACCAAAGACACTGTAAAATTTGAGAATCATTGTATAAATCATTATTTAATCTTTGTAAAATATTTTGGCAGCTTTAAACACCTGGAATAATATTTTTTTTTAAAAAAAAATTCCAAGTTTTATGAAGATTATTTAATGTTCAAAAAAATTAAGTTTTTAATCCACCGTTAACAACCCTCGAATACACTAGCCTAATCTTTATAATTAGTTCCGTATGAACTTAACTATAGGACTCTTGACGACTGTCATTCTGGAATATCTAGTTCTTGATTGACGTAATTATATGTTGTATTCAAGAAGATTTGTGACCATCAGGATTTGTGATTATTTACGTTGATCAATTTCGCATTAAACCGCGATTTCAATCGGATTTTCTGTTTAGTGCTTATTGTTAAACGCGCCTTCCTTCTTGTTGTCTCAATAATTACGCAGAAAATGTTCTACGAAGCTTTGCAATTATGAAAGTAATTCTTCTAAGTAAATTTGGTTAAATTCCTATTTCCACTCGCAATAGGAATAAAGTATAAAAGAATCTTTTTTTTCCGGCGCGATAACTGATATTATAAAAAAATCAAGCGTTATTATCTAAAAAACCTCTTATTTGCTTTATCTAATTTTGTCCAGTTTGACTTTAATTAGTGATGTTAAGCTGTCCTTAACCGGTCCTTATGATTTAAGAGATCACTAACTTTAGAGAAGCCTAATCACTTATCTATAATAAATAACCCGTCAAAAAAATGTCATAAATATTTTATAATTAATTTATAATAAATGAAAATGATATTCAAAATTGGCAATGTTGATGGGACCGCTATGTATAGGACTGGTCCTAGGGACCCGGTCCTAAATCCTTAAATTTTAAATTTTAAGAAATTCTGGGATTCCAAGAGGATTTTATATTTATTTTCTTTAAGTTGCTCATTAAAACATTAGAATAGACAAAGTTTAATAATAAATTTGTAAAAATAATTCTTTGTAATTTTCTTGGGATCTTTGAGACCGCCGCTTAACATCTCTAACTTTAATCAACGTTTCAGAAAACATGCAACCATCATTCGTTGTTTTTTTGTTCGTTAGTTCGGTGATATTCATGGGGATCATTACCATATGGTCTGGTCTTTATTCAAGAAAAAAATCTCCACACGACACGTAATATAAAAAAATACTTTTACTGACATTAGCGACAACTTACCGTAAAAATTAATACTAAAATCGCCAACGAACTTTCTACATATTTGTCTGCAGAAATCAATACCAAAATCGTGGAAATTGGAAAAATTGATACTGAAATTAGTAAAAAAAATTAATAAACTTCACGTCAATGACCACAAGAAATAATTCTTTCGAAGAAGCGTAATGAATTTGGCAATATGAAATCTGAATTCGATACCTCTAGTTCTTCCATAAGTCCTTCTTCTAATTCATCATCCGATTCATCCCTTGAAGAAAATACGAACCGTTTTAAGAGTTTTATTCGAATAAGGAAGGGGGGGTATGGATTATGTGAAATTCGTGAACTTACTGGGGAAGGATACCGCAAAAAATCTTTAATTATGGGTATGGTGATCGAAGTATATACAAATGGATAGTTAATAGCAGTACGGAGTAGTGGAAAGGAACTGCTTTCGTATGAGTAAGTACTCGGCAAATTCCTCCCTTTAAACTTCCACTACTCCCTTTCATATACGAAAAAAAAATAATAATTATGTTTTCGATTGATTTTTAAATTTATGAATGTGTTTTGTGTATAAATTTTGTTATCAACTAAAGCAAATTAATTTTTCCTTGGTCCCAAAATATGAGCAAAACTTTATTTTTTTTTTTTTTAGAGAATGTTAGTGAAGCGGAAAAAAGCTAGAGAGAAATGTAACATAAAAAACTAAGAACACCATGATCAAATACTAAATAAACTATATGTAATGCAAATAAACTATATAATATTATTTAGCATCGCGGATAACATACATTCTTTAGATTTCATTTATATAATTTTAAAGACATTAATAATCTGTTAATGTGTAAAGAACGCAGAAAGTTGTAAAATGAGTCGAGTTTTCCAAAGTTATTGTGTTAGATTTAACTAGCCTCGAAATTAACGATGTGCTATGTCCCGTTGGACATGATAAAATTACTATGCTTACGTTCAGTTTTTTGTTCTCCTCACTTTATGCGCGCCAGATATCCCACAGAGGAACAGGCTTGCCGTCCTCTCTCTCCATCTTTGCTATTTTCCAAAATTTGTCTTTTGAGCTCAGTTGAGACTTATCCTGGAGTTCCATATCGGTGACTACTTCTTTTGCGATCTCAGAATCAGCGAGCTTGATTATAAGTTGCATTGAAACTGAGAGGCCGATGCAAAATCTGTTCGGAGTGAACAGGCCAGACGGGTCATACTTTTGTTTGATATTGCAAAGTCGTTCGTACTTTCCTTCTGGGTGTTGGTCGTAATAATACTGCTGATTGGCACTCAAGTCCAAATCGTGAGATCCCCACAAAACGCGACGATCATGTTCGCAAAATTTGGCCTTCGGCTTTCCAACTCCCTCATCGTTTCCTTGCTGCCACTTTATCGCCTGCTCGCGTTGGCCGCTATGGTAAAAAGCATCCATCGTGCAGCCAAGGCGTGTGTCTCGCCAACTAAACGATGTGGGACTGTTCTTTCCATTTTGGAAAAATCGTGAATTGGAGCCACCAATATGCTGAAATTGTGCTGACAATTTCAAACTCAGGCAGTGACCAACTTCGATTCGATCGTAAACCCAATCCGTCCATCTGAGATCCTTGAGTCTCTGGGAACTGGAATTAGACGAGTATGTACGCTTGACGTACGGATATTTGAACTCTCGTGAAATAGGAATAATCCAGTGGCTGGTCAACTTAGACATTGGTGTGTATACCTTGTCGCTGACTTGAATTATCCCTTTGCCGGCGACCTGTCGAATTTTGTCGATGAAGTTTGGGTTGTAGCTTTGTTGATCTCCTTGCAGATTGGACCACTGCGCGAAAACAACGATCATCCGGGGCCAAACTACCTGATGTGGCGTGCGATCATATATCATGTCATAGGTTAACTCTTTAGTGTCAAACTGACACTCTTCCGACACCATGATACAATAGTCGTAATCAGCAGGGAAATTTTCATCTTCGGCCATTTCCACCATGACATTCAACAGGGCCTTGAAACGTTGGCGATCGTATGGGTATGCGGCTCTAAGTCCGCGAGAATTCGGATGGTCTTGATCTCTGAAGACGTGCAGTGAGACGTGGGTAAGCACCCCAAAATTCCCAGGACTCCCACCCAGCACGGCGAAAAACAAATCCTGGTCCTGGTAAAGGTTGCGGCAAACCCAATGCACTTGACCATCGGCGGTAATAATGCGGAATTTTTTGACATGATCTGAGAGGAGCCCGAAACTTCTGGCCAACTGACCGTATCCTCCAGTTTGGATATGTCCACCCATATATACGTACTGACATTGACCATGTGGCACAAATCGATTTTTTTCCCTGAGCTTGGCATTGAACTCGCCTAACGAGAAGCTGACACCGAACGTCACCGACGTGCAATTCTCATCTTCCCATTCAAAATCCCTGTACGTCTGAGATAAATCGAGTTGAATGTTTCTTCCACTTGTAGACGATGCACCGCTGTATTGATGACCTCCTGTGCGCACGGCCACAGCGATTTTGTTGTCGCTCGCGTACTTGATAGCTTTAATCACGTCGCTGTCGTCTGCTGCCTTTATGATAGCCGCCGGTTGAATGATGTCCTCCTCCAAGTACGAGCTCGATGCATACTGATAGCATTGAGCCTCATAGTTAGCATCATCGCGTTTGATCACCTTTCCCTTGAATTTCGGGAACTGCTGTTCAACGTTCGAATCAGAAACACGAGCAGAACTGAAGTTTACTCCGTTTGTCATTTTAATTGCAAATTTTAGAAAGCAAGCGTTGAAGGAATGCTTGCATTAAATATAAAAGTTCGGTGCAAAAAATTCCTGCATATCCACACATCACGAGGTATTGTCTCAATTTTTCATTATTTCTATTTTGAAATGAATCTTAAATGACCTTTATATGACTGATCATTTGTCATTAAAGTCATTTACAATATCAGCCAAATTTAAACATAAAGTCAGCCAAAGCAAGACCTAAGAAAAGTTAATATTATGAATTATAGATAATTTTAACCAGATTACAAGACCACAACATAAATTATTCAAATGCTAGATCATTATTGATTTGACTTTAAATGACCTTTAGATGATCGGGTATTTGTCATTTATTCATTCGAGATCATTTAGGTTACTTTCAATTACTGGCAATAATGGAATAACGAGAACAATAGCATTTGATTTGATATTGTCTCAACTCGTCAATAAATGAAGCAAGTACGAGAATAATAGTAAAGATCGCCATGCCTAAATGAGATTTACTATTCGAATTACGAACTCGTGGATCTTTTCAAAAATGACCTTACTAATAAATTTAACATTCCAGTACAAATTTAGATATAAAGTAAAAATAAAATTAAAAAGTGACTGATGTGGCTAGTTACAGTAAGTTAGAGTTCGAAAAATATGGCATTTACGAATGGCGTAGTAGCTGCGTAAAAATATTGAAAATATTGAAAATGTCGATAATATCAATTATATGTATGTTAAAATCATTATAATCGATATTATATATAATTATTAAATTTATTATAATTGACATTTTTGATTTTTGATATATTCGTTATATTAATTATTTTTATTATATTTGATATATTATATTTATTTTAAAATAGAAAAAATTAGCATTTAGAAATTTTGTATATAAACCCAGGAAATCCGCTTTGTTCAAAAGAATAAGGTTGATGAGTCTGTCCGAAATCTTGAGTTAATAAAATTCCATGTTACACTTTCAAACTTTATCGTGTCTCCATATAGACTGACTGATAACCAACTACACATAAAGTAAATAGTTGTATAAATCTTTCTTAGGACGGACCTTAGTTAGATTTAATCGTTGTGTTGTTAATCTGGTTTCGGTTTAACCGGGTTAACATCAGTAAAATATTATTGTTGCAGTTAATAATTATAAAATCAATCGTAAATATTATTTTTCGAAATCGAAAAGAATTCCTGAGTATCCATTAATGATGCCTTTTGAATGGAATGTTACAAATATAATTAGGAAAATTTTCAATTTTTATCTTGTAACAATAATCCAAATCGTAAATTCTTCGTAAATTATTTCCACAAAATTATCGATATCAAGCAATTCAACCACCTAATCCGAATTATTATAAACAACGAATTAACCTCCTCTTTCAAGTGATTTAGATCGCTTTATATTTTTCCGTAAGTTTTAGATATATGGAGGGCGTAGTAAAAAGGAGGAAATCTGAAATTTTTGCTAATTTTAGTTCTTAAGCTAATTTTGAGCACATGACTGTGATCAATCAGGTGGACCAATTACAAAAAAATTTATCATTTTTAGATTTCCCCCTTGCTATTGACTGCCGCCCACATTTATTTATTATTTAGTTTTGCTTTTTTATGATTGTTTTTAAGAAAATTAATTTTTAGTTATTTAAGCTTAATGATGATAAAGTTTTATCAATACTGAAACAAATAGTTCTGAAATTATTTATTAAGATAATTGTATTAGAAGCAATCTATATGTATAATAAATGTTTTAAATAGAGATTTTTACAATTAATAAATATTTAAATATTATTTTTTTTATGGTCTTTTCTAGTTGATATTCTCTGAGTAAAGAAATTATATTAATACTTATCAAGTATTATATAATAAAGCAAAAAGATTTATCTTTTAAAGAAATTAATTATAATTTAACAAATTTAATAGATAACAAACAGAACATTATCTAATTAGTTTTTTTTTTGAAAGATTAAATAATTCTTACAAAAAAAAATTATATTGAAAAAGATTACCTTTTAATATTTTAAGCAAAATCTGAAAGTTTAAAATGTTATTCCTATAAAAAATAATAAAAAAAAGATATTAAATTTTTATTAAGGAATATTTATATTATTTTATAAATAAAATTTACTTATAATTAAAGAAAATAATACATTATTGTTATTTTTTTTTAAAATAAAATTGATATAGACACTGGTATAGAAAGAAATAATAAATATATATATTTTAATAAATAATATTGATTTTTAATAATATTTGCAAAAAATGGTGACAGAAAAGAATAAAATAATTATATATTTTATTTTTTGAATAATGATATTTTAAATTCAGTTCTTTCATTTATATTTATAACAATTTAACTTATAAGTAGAAGCTTTTATTAAGTAAAAATAAAGTAATTAGAGTATATATATAAATGAACTATATAGTTAGCTAAATTGTACTATATAAAAATATAATTACTAATTATATTTTATTATATAATAAATATAAAAGTTAAAAATGTGTACAATGTATTATTATTGGCTAAAATACTTTTATACAAAATAGTTTAGTTGACTTTTATCTACAAGCCTAAGTAATTATAACAAAATACTGTATTTATTTAATAATATTAAATTAATCTGTATTGTCTTAATATTAGCACTCTATACTTTTACAATATCAATATATTAAACTAAATAAATACTAATTAATAAAATATTATTTAATAAAATTGCACAATTATAAAAAATTGTATAATAAATTAATAAGAAAAATCAGAAATTAATGAAATTACAAATATAAAATTAAAATGTTAAATTAGTGAAAGTAAAAATATTGTAAAGAAATTAAAGGAAAATTTATGAAGAAAATATTTTAGCTAAAAAAAAAATAAGAAAATATAGTAGTAAAATATACTAAATACATTTGAAAAATTTTAATTAGATAAAGAAAATAATAAACCTCAACTAATCTTCATAAAATAAGCATATATAATAATAATAGATTTTTAGTAATTTTCTTTATATATTTTGCTAATTTTTAATAAATAATATTGATGATTCATCTTGAATATATTTACAATTTATTTATGATTTCACTTGAATAATTATTTTGCAACCTTTACTTATCTAATTACTTTCTAATAAAAATAAATAATACTATATTATAGATTTAATAGACTTAAATTCAGAATTTATTATATTTACTTATATCATATACTTGATTATTATTATGTATTCACTACTATTTTAAATACTTCTTTTCACTTTTTTTTTATTCTTCAAGCTGACAGATATGACTTATAAAGTAATTTTAGATAATTTGTTAATTAGATAACAGAAAGTTAATAATTCAAAATTAATGTCTTTCATAATTTTGAAATTAGATTATGATTTTTACACTATTAAAAATTTATTATAGCTTAAATTATTCTTTATATTAATAGTTTTTAAAATTACTTTTATTTTGACCTAAATATAAAAAAATTAGCTAAAAATTTAAAATATTTAGATATAAATTCAAATATACTTCTAGCTCTTTTTTTTGTTACTGAATTATTATCATCTTTAGAATTATTTTGTGATAATTTTAATTTATTATTAATTTAATAAACTTGTATTTTTCTTTTAATTTTAATGAAGTTTTTTTATTTTGCAAAAAGATTATCATTTAACTATTTTAACGATTTTAGGTATCTATATATTTTTAATATTAAATTAATTAAATCTTAAATATTAAAAAGAAAAATTAGTTATTATAAATATTAAAATATTAATATTAAGAATTTTTACTTCTTCTATAGATCATTATTTTTCTTATTAAATTCTTTATTGATTTTAACAAAAAATTTTAATTTTTTTAATTTATTAGAATTTTACTACTTCAATTTTTTTAATTATTTTACTAAATTAAGCAAGTTTTTTTTTTAACTTTTAATTCTCTATATAAAATAAAGAAAATAAGTTAATTATAAAATAATAAATATCTAATTCTAAATTATTAAAATTATTAAAAATCTTAACTACAATTATAACTAAAGTACTTACTATTAATCCTTAATGAAATTTAGATAAAAGTTAAATTTTTTTATATCATTTTTGCATTTCTTTAAATTTACATCTATAATATAAAAAGTTATTTAGTATTAATATTAACTTATATTTTGAAAATTAATACTTCTTAAATGATTTTAATTGAATGCATTTTTATCTTTTTTTATTATAAAAAAGTAAAAAAAATCATCTTATTATTTGAAAAGTTAATTGGCTAATTAATAAAATTTAACTTATATTTTTTTTTTATTAGCCTTTTTGATTTTTAATATAATTTAATATTGATAATTATTGATAATAAGTAAAATTCTATTATAAAAAAGTGATTTATTATTTAAAACTTGAACTGATTAATTAATAAATACAACTTATGTTTTATTTTTTTTCAGCTGATTTTGATATTTAGAAATATATTTTTAATTTAGTTAAGATTGTATTTTATTATAAAAGAGTAAAAAAATCAGTTTATC